AGGGCACGACTGATGTAGTAGACCGACCATTGAACAGAGTCGTCTTCCCTAATAAGAGACTACACTGACTGCGATGCTTGAAACGGCTAAATAGAGGAAGAGGGGTTCGCCAGTGATTGCCTGAGAAAGGAAGGGGGGTTGGCCATGCACTGCTTCAACTGTTGAAAGGCCTCTTCGGACTCGGTCGTCCATTCAAAAGTTTGCCGAAGAACTTTGAAGAAGGGGAGGCACTTATCCGTTGCACGGGAAATGAAGCAGTTGAGGGCGGCAACTCGGCCAGTGAGTCTCTGAACTTCCTTAACCGTTCTGGGTGACTGCATTTCAATCAAGGCCTTGATCTTTTCAGGGTTGGCTTCAATACCCCGCTGACTGATCATGAAACCCAAGAACTTCCCAGATCCTACGCCGAAGGCGCACTTCTCCGGGTTGAGCTTCATTTGGTACTTCCGTAGGGTGGCGAAGGTCTCTCACAGGTCGGTCAGATGGTCAGCGGAGAGTTTGCACTTGACTAGCATGTTGTCGACATATACTTCCATATTCCGACCGATCTGATGATGGAAAACGGCGTTGACTAACCGTTGGTAGGTGGCCCTAGTATTTTTCAGTCCAAATGGCATCACATGGTAATGGTAGGTGCCTCGGTCGGTAATGAAGGAGGTGTGTTCCCGATCAAATGGGTGCATCAGAATTTGGTTATACCTAGAGAAGGCATCCATCAAGCTGAGCATTTGGTGACCGGCCGTGGTGTCGACCAGCAGATCTATGCGGGGAAGAGGATAACTGTCTTTGGGGCAAGCTCGGTTGAGGTCTAAGTAGTCGACACAAAGTCGCCACTTACCATTGCTCTTGCGGACCAAGACCACGTTTGACAACCATTTAGGGTAGTCCACGTTTTTTATGAATTGTGCCTCAAGGAGCTTGTCAACCTCTGCGGCAATAAGAGTATTGCGCTCGGGATGAAAGATGCACTGCTTCTGGCGGTAAGGTCGGAAATGGGGTTCAATGCTGAGGCAATGGGTTATGAAGGAGGGGTCAATACCTGGCATGTCTGAATGGGTCCAGGCAAAGACATCATTGTGCTCGGTCAGGAGGGCAGTAAGGTCGGCCTTTGCTTGTGGAGATAGTTACGTCAAGTCCCTCAATGATCATTGTCTCTTTCAGCTTGATTTCTTTGAGTGAGGTGACATAGCATTCCCTGGCCATGGTCTGTTCTCCCCTTACAGTCCCGACCCCCAAATCGGTGGGAAACTTAATGGCAAGGTGATAAGTTGATGTGATGGCTTAAAAGGCATTTAGAGCGGTGCGGCCAATGATAATGTTGTAGGCGGATGGGCAGTCGACAACAAGGAAGGTGAGCAACTTTGTAGTCTGCCGTGGGTACTCGCCGATTGTAATGGGGAGATCGATGGAGCCGATGGAGGTCACCCGGTCGCCAGTGAAACCAACCAAAGGGGTTTGTAGAGGAGACAGACTTTCCTCTCCAATTTTGAGCTGGCGAAAGCAGTTGAGAAAGATGATGTCTGAAGAACTGCCGTTGTCGATGAGAACTCGTCTAACCTTGTAGTTTGAGAGGAGGGCAAAAATGACAAGAGGGTCATCATGAGGATAACAGATGCCTGTACAGTCAGCGTTCGTGAAGGTGATAGGCTCGGTCCACTGCTTGGGCTGTTTGGAGGGTCGGTCGACCGTAGCAACTGCTTTGTCTGAGCCCTGCCTTATCTTTCTGAGTTCTGCCCTCTAAGCCGAGCGGGATGGTCCCCCGCAAGCAAGGCCGCCTGAAATGACTCTGATTTTCTCCAACAGGTGGGGGGGATTGCCTGGCAGTCGAGGTTGCTGTGGAGGGCAATCATGGCCATGGTTAGGTTGGGCTGGCTGCCGGGGGGGTGCGCCGGCGGTTGTTTCTGAGGGGCTCAGTTCTTTGCCTCTGCTGAGGGCGGGTGTCCGTGAACTGGCTGAGACGTCCCTGACGTATTAGAGTCTCGACCTGATCTTTGAGGTTAACGTACTCATCGGTGTTATGGCCATGGTCCTGGTGAAAACGATAATATTTGGATTGGTCTTTCCGATTGGAAGGGGTTCGTGAAGGTTGGGGCCATTTGAGGGGGTAGTCCCGCTAGATCTGATTGAGGACTTGTTCCATGGGAGAGTTAAGGGGTGTATACCGCTCGAATCGACCGGTCGGTCGGGCTGGTGCCGACCGGTCAGCTCTGGGTCGGTCGGTATAGTGTGGTGTTTGGCTATTATACTGGGTGTTTCTGGGTTCTGAGTCTTTTTTCTTTTCTCTAGGGGTCGGGTTTTTGGTTATTGGATCTTGCCGAGTGGCTAGGGAATCCTCTGCATTCATGTATTTTTGGGCTTTGGAGAGTAGGGCTGCCATGGAGGTCGGGGGGTTTTTAGAGAGAGAGAACAGGAAGTCGGACGACCGCAGACCGGCCATGAAAGCCGTAAGGATGACCTTATCATGGTTTTCCGTCACCTGCAAGGCTTCGGTATTGAAGCGGGTGACGAAACTACGCAGGGACTCCCCCTCGGTCTGGCGGATGTTGAGGAGTTGGGTTGCCGGACGGCGCTGGCGCTGGGCTCCGATGAAATGACTGAGGAAGGAGTCACTGAGATGCTGGAAAGTGGAGACGGAGTCTGCTGGTAACTGGCTAAACCACAGCCGAGCTGACCCCTTCAGTGTCACGGGAAAAGCTCGATACATGATCTCGTCAGGGAATTCATAGAGGATCATGAGGGTTCTGTAGGTCTCAAGATGGTCGACTGGGTCCATCGTGCCGTCAAAAGAGTCAATGGTGGGCATTTTGAACTTGGGGGGTAGAGGTTTGTCCCTGATGGAGGCAACAAACGGTGAGTTTGCTGTGGTAGAAGGTTTATGCTGGATGTTCTGCATGACCCCTTGGAGTTGGATCTTCATGGCTCGGAGTTCTGCATCCCAGAGAGGGATGTTATCACCACCAGAAGGGAGCGGAGGTTGGACGCTACAGGCTTCCCCCTCAGGGGTTGGTGCCAGGACCGATGGATGCAGGGGTCGAGGTGGTGGATTTATGTGAGGAGGAGGAGGTTGCAGGCCTTCCAAGTTCGGTGGATAGGGCTGCGGGATAGTATGGCTCGGGGCTCGTTCTTGGTTGGACGGAATATCTGGAGGTGGTGGAGGAGGCATAGGAAGGTTCCTTTGGAGTAGAGCATTTATCAAGGCTTGGTTTTGCTCGGCCATGCGGTTGATGCTGTTGGTAAGCTCGATGAAATACTGTGGTGGGTTGTTTGTATTGGGGGGGTCGGCTTGATGGTCGGCAGCATTTTGGTGAGAAGCCATGGATCTAGTCGTGACCATACATGTTGATGGGTAGCAGGAAAAGATTATTGGAACAGGATCTCCGGCGACAATGAGCACAACTGGCGCACGGAGCAAAGCGTTTCCACAAACGGCGCCAACTGATGTTACAGTTACGATACAACGGGTTCCAGAGGGAATGGGTCAGATTGGTCCACTCTTCTCCAACCGATATCTGAATGGCCAAGCCCACCTGAGAACCTGCACAGGAGTTCAACGGGGAACGGGGAGTCCCCCAGCGAACCCTCCGACGAGCAAGTTAGAGAGAGAGAAGTGGAATGTAGAGATATGGATTAAAGAGATAGGAAAACTTAACCTTCTTCTTGTCTTCAACGTCTGCTTATATCCTTTGGTAATCATTTCGTTGTCCCGTTCGACCTGTCACCTTGGCCAAAAGTCTATGTTGTAGCTTACCTTGTTCAGGGCGTGGACGTGCTGTCCCGACGGAGAGGTGTTGTCGTAATAAATGCTGTGAGGGGCTGTATTAATGGTGATGTCCAGTGGCAATAATTTTACAGATCTTTGTCTGCTGATGTGGCTTGCCCTTTACCTGCCACGTGTCTGAATATCATTGGTCCTTCATGTCATGTTGACTTCCAACTGTACTGGGCCTTATCAGTTGGATTATGCATTGGGCCCTAAGTGGTAAGCTTGGGTTGTTCATAGTGGGTTATGGGTTTTATGAGCCTATCCACGTCAGATATTAATCTGAATTATATTATTAAATTCTCTTCTTTTTTTTTTTTATTTAGTTATACTTAAAATATAATGTATAATTTTATCTTAATATTAATCCACTCCATCGACAAATCCTAAGTCCCCCCATGCCTCGTCTGCTAATCCACCACCACCTATAGATCCTCCTCCACAACCCAACCACGACCTCCTCCATCTATGGAAAAAGGACTTCAATAAATACAAGAGTTGGCCAGATTACTTTGACCAATTCAATCCAACTGATTAAACTCATTTATTAAATAGACAGATTTAATGCATAACCCATTTTGACCGGGTCTTATCCGCCCGTTTCCCATCTCTAAGCCAAAGACTCCAAACATTTTGAAGCCACTAAACCTACGTCATTGTGGTTGTGGTATAGAGTTGAGTAACGTGTAGCAAGACCCAACACATAAAAAGATTCTGTGTGTTTGGTTTAAGCTTTTTAGATTAAATTTTTTAAAAATTGATTTTTTTTATTTTCGTATTTTTTTTATTTTTAGTGAATATTTTTTAAATTTTAAACATTTTTTTTACTTTTTTAGATGCACCTTACTTAGATATATTTAAAAAGTAAAAAATTTGTGAAAAAATATTTTAAAAAATTAATAAATATATAAAAATATAAAAAATGTATTGAATTCTTGTATTTTTTTGTACTTTTGGTATTTAGTGAATTTTTAAAAGATTTTTTTTACAATTTTTTTACTTTTTAAGTGTATTTATGTTAAGTGTGTCTAAAAAATAAAAAAATTACTTAAAATATTAAAAAAATTCAGTAAAAATAAAAAAATATGAAAAATAAGAAAGTATAATTTTCTAAAAAGTGTTTTTTAAAAAGTATAAACAAGCAAGGTGATTGTTTTTAATTTTTTGTTTTATTTTTTTATTTCCATCTTAAAATCTTCTTTTCCTTTTTTCAAGCCTGTGATTGTTGTGTATTATACAGATATGGAGCAATGGAAGACTTACAAGTGTGAAGCACAGAGTCCAATGCTATGAAGTAAAGACAAGGTTCTCAATTGTTTTCTTTGTGTTTGGGCCAAATGACAGAGCAACTGAACAACCACCAGAGCTGGTGGATTCTCAACATCCTCGTCTCTATAATCCTATCAATTTTGCAGATTATAGATTGCTTCGACTCTCCAACAATTTACGCACTGGGGCTTTTGAGCTCTTGCGCATCAATTCCTGAATTACACAACTAATCACATAAAATAATCTTGGTCATCTATATCAGATGATGAGTCTATCGGAAAAGTTACAATTTTATTCAGTTATTTCAGTCATGTTTTATATGATTGATTATGTAATCGGTTTATTATCTGTACACTTATGGTTCCCACTTATTAAAGAAGCCTGTATATATATATATATGGAATATGAGTGTCTTCACTCTTAAGTAGACTGGACTGTCTAGAACTCTAAAATAATCTTGGACATCATAAAGGATATGATTCTATTCAATTACTTCACTTACATTTTATGTGGTTGATTATATAATCGGCTCATTATGCATAAACTTATGGATCCTACATATTAAAGAACCATATACATATATATATATGTAAATGTCTCTTCACTTTTTAGGAGTGTGCGTATTGCGAGTTTAAGAATAAAATTATAAATCAAATAATGGATTGACGGATTGACAAATTGTCATTTGAACGGTTTTAGGCGAATTGACGAATTGAAGAATATTTTAACCAATTATTAAGAATATTTCTTACCCTCTTTTCTTGTAGTGTAATCACTTTAATGTAAATACCATACACAAGTTATTGAGAGTATTTGGGAAGTTGACTATTTTAATAAATTAATTTAATTTTTGACTCTTTTAGTATGTTAAAATAATAGAAAATTTATTAGAAAATCCTATTTTGGGAACTTCTATACCATTTGGTCCAACGTTTTAAATAATTGATTGAAGAGTCCTTATTAGGAATAGTGTGTGACCGGAAAGTCATTTTTTAAATGTGGATGGCTTTTGGTTGGACAGATATACCCTCACTAGTTAATTGGCTGTACTGGGCCTTATCAGTTGATGTGTGACAGGTATGATATGATTTCTAATGTAGCTGGTATTAATGTGACACTCCAAAAAAATAAAAAACTCCTTATGTTGTGCTTAATTGGGTGATTTTGGAAGGGATTTAGAAATAAAAATAGAAAATATGTGTGAAATTATGTGAAATATAAGTATATTGTATTTACATTTCATCTAATTTTTTTATTTTTTTTCTAAATCCCTTCTCAAATTTCCTTACCAAATAATAATTTATCTTTTAATAACATTTTAGTATATAAAAAAAATAAAAAATAAAAAATAAAAAAAACATCAAAAATCGTTTCCCAAACAAGGCCATTATGCCTTCACATTGTCCTACCCTTACATTATCTACGTAAATTATTGAAATGAGAAAAGTTAAAATTTATCATCTTGATTAGTATGTGACGTTTTACTCTAAGTATAATGTAAAAGTCATAAAATTTTCATAATTATTTTCGTGATTCGTGATGATACCTAAGATTGTTAGATTGAAATAAATAGTCAAACCATCTAAAGAGACTCAACATATTCTTCATTCCACAGCCGAGAGAGAGAGAGAGAGAGAGAGTAAGAAAACTAGCAGTAGACTCAAATATGGGTAGTATTTGTATCCCAGTAATTGATATGAAAGAAGATTCTGTAGGACAATCAGAGAAAATAGTAGAAGCATGCAGGGAGTGGGGATGTTTCAGGATCATCAACCACGGCGTCTCACCGGAGTTGATGGCGGAGATGAAGGTGGCGACGCAGTCTCTGATGGAGCTCCCGGTGGAGATCAAACGGCGGCGTTATCATCCAGTGGAAAGCTATGGGTACATACCAGTTAACAATGTCAGTCCAGTTTATGAGAGCTTGTTGGCTTGTCATGACTCCTGTGTCCCTGGTGCTCTTGATAATTTTTTGGATCTCATGGCTGTCTCTCCTCACCTAAGGTGCTCTCTCTGTCTCTCTCTCCATGTTGCTTCAATAATCTGCTTAGATAGACGGTTCAAATAAAAAAAAAAATAGATCTCAAATTAATAAGTCCAAAACTCCTTAAACTTAAAACTCTAGTCACACTCGTTGAATGAGGGGGAATCTTTTCCTTGTAGTTGTATACCGGGGATTTTGGAACTCTAGTCACACTCGTTGAATGAGGGGGAATCTTTTCCTTGTAGTTGTATACCGGGGATTTTGGTGTGATTTATAGGGATGGCAATTTAAATCCGGTTGGATAGGGATTCGATTTTTCGATCTTGATTAGAACGGGTTTTTCTCGAAAATTATTTCCATAAAATTGGAGATGATATTAAAAATTTAATCCTTGATAATTTTCAGGCCCGGAATGGTAATAACTTTCCCAAACCCGGCCCGGCCGCGAACAGCCCCGAACGTCTCATATATATATAATACATATGTTTAGGCTGCTTTATATTATATATTATGTTTGTTTAGACTACTTTATGATATATTATATATATATATATATGTTTAGGTACGCAGGTTCTTAAGGAGCCAAGGTTCTATCCTTGCAGCTTCGTACTTGCGCTCGTCCTTGCAGGCCTTCGGGTCTACTTTTAGGCCCAATTTTAATAATCCAAATCGTTCATATTTTATAATTTATTCAGTATATCATACCTATAAAAAATCAAGTTGATCGGATATCAGAAAGTATATGTTCGGAAAACTGTTTATTAAATTCTTTAAAAAAGAGTTTTTAGTTCAATTTTTCGAACACATACTTTCTGATATCCGATCAACTTGATTTTTTATAGGTATGATATACTGAATAAATTATAAAATATGAACGGTTTGGATTATCAAAATTGGGCCTAAAAGTAGACCCGAAGGCCTGCAAGGACAGGCGCAAGTACAGGAGCTACAAGGAGAGGATCCTCGTTCGGTTCTTAAGGACTAGTCAAAAAGCATTCTCCACTGTTTCACTCTCTTTCTCTCTCTTCTCCCTTTACCCTTTGTGAGAGAGATAAATTCTCTTTCTTCTCCCTTTAGTCAAAAAGCATTCTCAACTCTTTCGCCTTCCAGATTTAAGCCACGGAGAAGCATTCTCAACTCTTTCACCTTCCAGATTTAAGCCACGGAGAAGCATTCTCAACTCTCTCACCTTCCAGATTTAAGCCACGGAGAAGCCTAGAGATAGATCGGCAGCGGAGAGCTCCTTCCAGATCTGAGTCGCTATGAACATTTCTTTCGATTTGAGATATATATATAGATATACATTTTTTTGTTGTTGATGTTAATGATGATGATCATTGATGATGATTTTGTAGACTATAGTTGTTGATGTTGATGGTGATGATGAGAGCTACTGTTTTGCTTCTTTTTTTTGTTTTTTTTTGGCCGGAGATTTTCGGGGTCGGGAAAACCGATCCCCGTTAGGAGGCGGGGGCGGGGGCGGGGGCAGGAAGTTCGGCTAAAATTTCATCTGATCGGGGCCGGGCCAAGGGAATTTTCACCATCGGGGATCGGGGACGGGGAGTGTGATCCCCAGCCCGCCCCGCCCCGTTGCGATTCCTAGTGGCTTATTTTGGCCAATTTATAGATTTTAGTTTTGAAAAAGTTACTTTGAACTGTTTGGTTAAAATTATTTCAAATAATTTCTGATTCTTGTAATTTATTTTAACTTAAAAAAATTGATTCTGAGAAGTTGTTCACCCTTTACTTCTGATTATTAACTTCTGTTGTGGACACCTTACTTTAAGGTTATACTCTTAGATTTTTTTTATTTTTTATTTTTTTTAAAAAAAAAAAAAGGCCCAAATGGATTATGAATTATTATTATTATTTTTTATGAGAAATGTAAACAAGTAGTGAATAACAAAAAATAAAGGTTAATTTAAAAAGTTATTTCACAGCTTATTTAATAAACACTACTCAGCAATTTAAATCTATAATTTAACAGTTACACCAAATAGATTAACAGTTTCTGATTAAAGTCATAATTTATAATCTGTTAAGTTACAATCTACAATCTATTTTAAAAGTTACATCAAACGGGACCACTCTTGGCCTCGTTTAGAAACATGATATTTCAGTAATTTTTTAATTTTTGGACTAAAATATGAGGTAAAAAAATTAATATGTTTAGAATGACTTTTTGATTTTTTACAAAAAGATGTGTAAAAAGTAGAGAGAAAAGAAAATCTTTAACTTTTTGGTATAGATTATAGATTTTTTGATTTGTTTAATAACTTTTGAACTTTTAGACTAAAATACTCACATGCCAAATGAGGCGTTTGTCTACCTATATGTAGTAATACGGCGAACTGAAATTTATTTAAAATTTTATCAAGAAACATTAATGTAATTGGGTTTTATACACGGATTTTACAATACAATAATTAATATTGCATTTGTGGTAACTTTTCTTTTTCTAGGACGGTAGAGTATCCATCTGGTCTACATGAGATCACCCTTTTTAATTCAATTATGTACATATTAGTGTATCAATTAGTATTATATCATTGTTACTGATTTCACCTATTATATAAATTACAAATATCTAAAACGTTTAAAATTATGTCACATTTGTTAATATATTAATTAATACATTAATTAGTACATATATCATTATTCTTCTAATTAAAGTGGGATTACATAAAACCACCATTGGAAGAGAAAAATCATAACATGAGTTTAGAAGAATATCATGTGATCATGTGTCCGATAAATAGTATATTAGTATTTCTTTCATGATATGCCATTATTATTTTATTTTTTGGGATCATACATGATCTCTTATTATTGGGCGGGTAGACATCTAGGAAACATAGATACAGATATGACACGATACAAATACGGCGATACGGCAGAACCTAAAAAAATAGGATATGAGTACGGCTAGGATACGTTTGTGAAAAATATATTTTTTAAAATTATTAATAGTAAGTTACACATAAGCTAAAGAACGTTGAGAAACTACAATGTAATTTTATAATGCAAAATATTATCGTTTAAGAATTTTGTATTAATTTAAGCTAGTAGTTTGTTTACTTTTTAAATTTTTAATAGGTCTTGCAAATATTTCATTTCAGTATCAAATTTAATGTATTTATATTACAATAATAGAACAATTCAAAACTTGTCCTTATACTTTTTCCCTTGACACTAGTGAAAAATATTGTATTCAAGTTTACTTACTTATTTATTTATTGATATTAATTTTACCATTGTTATATTCTCTTGTTAATTCTTACTTTCTATGTAGTTATAGGGGACATGCATGAAATAATTAGGATATATCAATTTGATAAATTCTATTATTTAACTCACTATGCTCTTCTTATTGAAGAACTAAACAAAGTATTAGAAAAGCATTCTTATATTTATACTTGCAATTATATTATATTTTATTACTATACAAGAAATGTTACAATTCTAATT